CCCCGTGTGCCCCTCCGCCTTCGCGCAGCCCGCTCGGGGCCGCCAGCCCCCAGCCCGGTGCCTCCAGCGCCCGCCTCGGTCCGTTGAGCGCTCCTGGAACTCTCCTCCCTCCCATCCCCCCTTCTTTTCTTTGATCTGTCTGTCTGTCTGCCTCACTGTCTGGCTCTGTCCCCACCGGCTATTGCCCTCACTCTTTCTTCCCTTCTTCTCCGCCCCCTCCCCCATCCTCCCTCTGGTCGCTCCCCCAATCCACACACCTCCCCCCGCCCTCCTCTGTCCCGACCTGTGCCTTCCTTTGCAGGATCCTCCCTCCCCCTGCGGGTCCCAGCTCCTTACCCGCGGGAGACTCCTGCGGGTTGGTGCTGCAGTGGCCCTGGAAGGGGCCCGGGCTCGGGTCATGAGAACTGACCTGCCTGGAACCACCATTTTCCATCCCAGTCCCCAGCCCGGTGAGCTGGGCCCACCCATCCGGCCCTGGGGGACCGGCCACAGCTGTGGCTGGGCTGGGGCCAGGGACATGGCCAAAGAGGGAAGTTCCCGCGGAGAAAGAGGGGCTGCTTCAGGAGAGTGGACAGAGTGAGGAGGGGGACTCACAGTGCCAGGGGGCGTGACGCTGCCAGAGCAGACCAGAGATTGAGGATGGGGGGAAGAGTGCCCCAGAGCTCTCGCTGCAGGGAGCCGAAGCTCTGTCTCCGAGTACTCCCGCTGCAGAGGGGAGGGAGCACAAGCGGGAGCTCCCTGCAGGAGGTAGGGGACTCTGGCAGCGGCAGCTTAGGACACAGGAAGCAGAATGGCACTGTTAAGGGGAAGTCCATACCACCAGGAGTGGACACTATTCTGGGAACTTTCACGCCAGAAGTTGTCTCTGAAGAATCACTGCAAGGAGTGGGCACTGCCAGAGAGAGCGCCCACTGCAGGGGGCTGGGGGGGGGGCACGGCTAAGGGGGCTCTCGCTGCAGAGTGGAGGAGGGGGGAGGCCCTGCCAGGGGGCGCTCACTGCCAGGAGGTGGGGGGAGGAGCACTACCGGGGCTGCTCCTCTACAGAAGGAAGGGCACCCCCTGGCAGGGAGGCTGGAGCAAGAAAAAAGAGGAACTGGGCCAGGGAGAGCTGACTCAGTCTCTCTGGTCTCCTTTTTGGTCCTGGCCGACTGGAGGCTCGGTCTCTGTGCTCCTGCCCGCCGCCTCCCACCCCAGACCCCTCCTCCCCTCCTGCCGCTGCAGTTTCCTGTGGCTGAGACTCTCGCTCAGCCATGAGCTCACCGCCCCTAATGGGTTGCAGCTGCCTCGCTCCTCAAGCTGTAGCTCCCCCCTCCTGGCCTCCGATCGGACGGCCCACTCTGCCTCCCCCCACCCTCCCCCCACCCACTCTCACCGCGCTAGCTAGCCGCTAGCTAGCCGGGTCCCCGGAACACTGGGGGGTCTGTCTGCTCGCCCACACACCTTGGGGCTGGGTCTCTGTGCTGACGCACTGAATGTCCCTCTCTGGAGTGGCTGCCCTAGCTTCTCAGAGGGTCAGGACAGATGGGCAACTGGTAAAATACGCAGTTTTGTCTGCAGGGCAAAGACAGGACTGGGGGTGGAGGATGGCTGGAGAGAACTTTAGATAAATACTGCAGAGCATCCCCTTGCCCACTGACAGCAAAGAAACCTGATAAAAAGAGCCTCAAAGCCATCTTGAAAAAGAAATTAGTCTGCAAAGGAATAGCCTGAGGGTGCTTGTTTAGCATCTGAGATGGAGAAAGAGACCTAGTGATGCACTTAGGGAGGCAAATCCAGAGGAAGCAGGGCTGTCTTTTGAGACAGTGGTGGCAGGTGGAGTTGGCAGAGAGGTCCTACTGGAATTGGAAAAATCCATACCATCAAGGCCTCCTCCCTTCCCCACATGTTCCTTTTGTGACTTTTTCCTCTTTCGGCTGCCCCCACCCAGTTCTTTGTAACCCAATCCCACATGCTCTGGGAGTGGGTGATTGCTCTGGAGCCACTCTGGGAGAGAGAAGGTTGCTAGAAAGACAGACAGCCCTTTAGTCCTCCCTCCTTCTTCCTAGTCCTCCTTCTCCTCAGCCAACAGCTATCTCTAGGATACGATTGTTCGAGGTGGTGGCACCTCCACCTAAGCTGGAGGTCCGTAGCCCTTACACCCTGTGAGGAGGGGCTTGCAGGATGGCCCTCCACCCCCCCAGCTCTCTCAGCCATCGCTAAATCTTCTGGTGGCCGAGAGGACTGTCTCTTCCTGAGGAGGAACTCTGCAGTGGTCCCACCTCACAAGAAGCAGGGCTGGTCCTGAGATCAGAGACATTCACGACAAATTCTCCCTGGCTCTCCAGGGCCAGTGTCTCAGGGCTCCAGCGTGGAGGGCACTGCTAGGTCTGGGCACTCTGGCTGCCCCAGCCCCACTGAGGCCATCCCAGGCTCATTCAGCCAGCATTTCCCGAGTGTCCTCTTTGAGCACACACAGGGCGCACCATGTGGCCCCTGGGGGGCACGGCCAGCCCCGCACCCGGAGCCGTGCTCTCTCGGGCGCTGCAGCTGGTCTTATCCCTCCCAGGAACCCGAGCCAGTGGAGGACTGTGTGCAGAGCACGCTTGCCGCCCTGTACCCACCCTTCGAGGCGACAGCCCCCACACTCTTGGGCCAGGTGTTCCAGGTGGTGGAGAGGACTTATCGGGAGGATGCACTGAGGTACACGCTGGACTTCCTGGTGCCCGCCAAGCACCTGCTTGCCAAGGTCCAGCAGGAAGCCTGTGTGAGTGGCCCCTAAGATCCACTATCTCACTCCAGAGACTAGCCAGACTCACTTCCCTCTCCCCAGAGATGCCACCTCCCAACACTGACCGCCCCCCCACCAGGCAGAGCCCACTCAGATACTAACACACACAAAGACACTCGTCTTCCCCAAATATTGCCCCCCTAAGAAACATCAACTCCCAAAGACCCAGACCCACCAGACCCAATTCCAGACATCCCCCCCATATTGATTTCTCAAGATACTTAACTCCCCCAGACATGACTCAACAGAGATCCTTCACTCCTGCAGCTATAAAGACTCCTAAGAGTCCCTGACCCCTCCAGACAACGGCATCTGCTGACCGTGTCTTTGTAATGACTCAGTTGTTACCCTCCCACGCATGGAACTCGTTTCCTAGAGAAGCTACCTACTACCAGAAAACCGGCCAGTCCCAATCCCTCCCTCTGCTACATGAACACCCCAAGATACCCCTCTGGCTCCCCTGGGATTATAGCCCACAGGCAACAGGGCAGCCCTGCCTCGGGTGGTCCCGTTCTAACTGCCTTCTCCCACTGGCTTCATCAGCAGAGGCCTGAGCACGGCGTCCCACCTCTCTCCCCAGGCCCAGTACAGCGGTTTCCTCTTCTTCCATGAGGGCTGGCCCCTCTGCCTGCACGAGCAGGTCGTGGTGCAGCTCGCAGCCCTGCCCTGGCAACTGCTGCGCCCAGGAGACTTCTACCTGCAAGTAGTGCCCTCAGCAGCCCAAGCACCCCGCCTGGCACTCAAGTGCCTGGCCCCAGGGGGTGGACGGGTACAGGAGTTGCCTGTGCCCAATGAGGCCTGTGCCTACCTGTTCACACCTGAGTGGCTGCAAGGCATCAATAAGGACCGGCCAACAGGTCGCCTTAGTACTTGCCTGCTCTCTGCGCCCTCTGGGATTCAGCGGCTGCCCTGGGCAGAGCTTATCTGCCCACGATTTGTGCATAAAGGGGGCCTCATGGTTGGACACCGGCCAAGCACGTTGCCCCCCGAACTGCCCCCCGGACCCCCAGGGCTCCCCAGCCCTCCGCTCCCTGAGGAGGCCCTGGGCACCCGGAGTCCTGGCGACGGGCACAATGCCCCCGCTGAAGGACCTGAAGGCGAGTACGTGGAGCTGCTGGAGGTGACGCTGCCTGTGAGGGGGAGCCCCATGAATGCCGAGGGCTCCTCGGGCCTCTCCAGGACCCGGACAGTGCCCACCCGAAAGGGTGCTGGAGGGAAGGGCCGGCACAGGAGACACCGCGCCTGGATGCACCAGAAGGGCCTGGGGCCGCGGGACCAGGATGGGGCACGCCCACCGGGTGAGGGAAGCAGCACTGGAGCCTCCCCTGGGTCACCCCCAGGAGCCGAGGCTCTCCCAGAAGCAACAGCGCTAGAGGTGTCTGAGTCTCCAGCAGAGACATTGGGGGAAGCCTCTGAATCTTGTCTCCTGAGGCCGGGGGAGGCTGGGGGAGGGGCAGGCCAGGGGGCTGAAGGACCACCCGGCACCCCTCGGAGAACAGGCAAAGGAAACAGGAGAAAGAAGCGTGCTGCAGGCAGAGGGGCTCTTAGCCGAGGAGGGGACAGTGCTCCACTGAGCCCCGGGGACAAGGAAGAAGCCAGCCACCAGGAAGTCCTTGTCACTCTGCCCCCGCCAAATGAGCACGAGCTCCCAGGATGCAGCCCGGTCGAGGAGGAGCACAAAGGCTCAGGGAAGCCAGAGTCGGAGCTGAAGGAGGAGCTCAAACCAGCAGACAAAAAAGAGCCTCAGCCCCCAGAAGCCTGTGGATCTGTAGACGAGATGGCCAGAGAGAAGGATCCAGAGGAGCCCAGCCTGGCATGCGTGGTGGCAGGTGAGATGACACCGAAGCCAGGAGGGCAAAGGCCAGCATAGGCTGGGTCTAGAGAAGGGGGCTGGAGGAGGAGCTGGGAGCCCCATAGCCAGAACCCTCCCCACCTCAGGCCTAAAGCTCTGCTTGTGTCTGTGCAGGACTCACAGGTCCAGAAGGGTTCCTGCCAGACCCACCAACACCACTCCAGGAGACGGTGCAGGAAGTGGGAGGGGACAGTGTCCCAGAAGAGGCCTCTCTGGTCTCCAACTCCGATGACCCGGATGTAGCTTGGGACTTGATGGCATCTGGATTCCTTGTCCTGACTGGTCAGTGGGCATCAGTGTTTGAAGGGACGGGGGTCAAGGAAAGAGAAGCAATCAGGATGGGCTGTGGAGGGAGGCAGGGTGGCTGGGAGGTAGCCAAGGCCTGCCTGCAGCCAGGACGGCCTGGCCGTTTTGTGTCCTCAGGAGGGGTGGACCAGAGTGGGCGAGCTCTGCTGACCGTTACCCCACCGAGCCCTCCTGAGGAGCACCCACCCTCCCGAGACATGCTGAGCACTGCTCTTCATTACCTCCACTCATTGCTCAGGTAACCGAGGACCACCTCTGGCACCCTGAACATTAACCTCCTGCTCATGAGGGCCCTGACCTCCTTTCTTCTCAGGACACTGACTTCCTGACCTCTAGGATACTGACTTCCTCACCCCTCAATTTTTAAGGCACTGACCACTGACCTTGCTGACCTCTGACCTCCAGGATATCTTCATCAATGTTCAAAATCAACACTGCTAACTTTTAATATCCTAAGACACTATCTAGATTATCAGGGTATTGGTTTACTCATTCAGCAGCTACTTACTGAGCACCAAGAACCTAGTAGGCACCATGCCATATACTGG